GTAGCCGGCGGGGCGAAAAAGGCAACCGTAAACACTATTTTCAAAGCTTTTTCTTCTTCTTTTTTTTTTTTTAATATATATGTAATATATATATTTATAAATATATGTATACATATATATATAGCGCATTTCTGAGCACACAAAAAAGTACTATAATTCATTACTTGATTAGCGCGGAGGAAGGATCGGAACATTTTAAAGCAGCTAAAAGAATATAGGAGACTAACTTGCAGAGCATATGTCTAATTGTACTTTGCAAGAGATTCCTGGGCAACAGGAAGGGCATTTCTGCAGCAATGCCTGGCTCAAATCACGATGACTATTTTTTATTTTTTATTTTTTATTCGTATTCATTACTTATTCTGTTACCATTATTTATGATCTTTTTGTTTTTTATTTAAGTCTTTGGATATTAGGAAAGTAGCTAAACTACATACAGCCAATTGAAGCACTCTACGTAATACTTGTACAGTACATCTTTTTTGTGTTTTTATTCCAGAAATATATTATATATATTATATATATAGGTATTTTTAACTAACTGGAATTTTAAACAGATGTTGAGCAGGAGTAAGGAAGCCTAAGGCGAGTCTAGATGTTTTCCTTTTATATAGTCAAAATAGGGTGGCAGGAACTTAGACATTCCTTCTTCCACCCTGGGGGAAAAACAGCTTGCTCCACAGCGACTAGTGCTGTATCCTCGAGCAGGTTGAGAACCTGTTAAATTTATAATAGACTATTTCTGTTAGTCCTTGTTAATATTCCGTGCTGCGGCGTCACGGACCGGTGGATGACACTTTATCGGTGGCAGATTAAAACCAAACCAAACCAGGAACCACCCGTTGGCTCTGAATCGGTGGTTTCACTTAAATGTCGTGGCTGAGCCGACGACGATTCCCAGACCTCTGCCCCTGGGTCTCTCACCGGTTTGACAAAGGCGTTCAAAGATTTATCAGGAGCCCGGCAGGCTTACAGTAATCGCCCGGGGCGCTGTTAAAACGTTGTCTTCGTTACACGATAATCTGCGCAGTAACAGAATCCCTCAGTACGTGGCCCTTCTCTTCGGCAGAAGTTGCGGATTAACGTTATTTTGAATCTTATTGAAAATTCCGTTGCACCTGACACCCCGAACGTCCCGCCCACATCCATTTTTGTTCAATATAGCCTCCATAAAAAAGCCTTTTTCGTTTTCGTTGCAAGACGAGTTGTGCTTTGTTGATTCCCCCCCCCCCTCTGGCACGGCAGTTCCACATTGTCTCTTTTTCGACTCCTGCTTCTGGCACGGCAGATTCCCATCTGCTCTCTTTCGACTCGGTCTGCATCAGCTGGATTTGCTTTCCGGCTAAAAACGTGTCCGTTCTCTCTCAGCTGGCATGACTTGCAAGCAAAAAAAACCCCAAACCCCTCAGCACTTCGACCCGCCCCCTCCCCCTCGAGAAAGATTTTCCTTGCTGTTCTCAGCAAGCGATAACGAAGGTCCGCAGAGGAGCTGGGCCGCTCTTAATGAGTTATACTAGGTTTCTGTGTGCTTCCAGAAATCGGCGGGACGCCGTCCTGAGATTCGTGCAAACCCTGCTGAGCAGAATCGTTGTTGGGAATCTCTCTAATCTGGGTGCGCGTTTGCTCACGTTTGTGCCATTAGTTGACCATTTGCACTAAAAATGTTTTATTCTTCAGATCTCTCAGCTTACGCCTGTCTTTTTCCTTTGGTCCTTCCCCCGCAGCTGAAAGGTTATCCCGCATCTTCGTTGAAAATCGTTTATTTGTCAGGATTTAAGCCCAGGAGTACGCGTTAACTCCCGGTGTCTGCTTATTTCAGATTGCTAATGCTTTTTCAATTTAAGGAGGGGGAAAAAAAAAAAGGTAGCTTCGAGCGGGAGGATACCCTAAAAGAGCAGGAGTAACTTGGGCCCGGGTGACCCGGAGTCCTTTGCTTTGAAACAGCCGCAGGTACAGCGTGAGTCGAATGCGCTTCCTGCAGTTCACGTGGTTCCCCGGCGGGATTTCTGTCTGTGTCGCGCGCCCGTTCGAATGACTCTCGCGCGCGTCAAGTCTTGTTCGCGATCTGTTGTTTTTTTTTTTTAAAACCAGAGTCACTTCAGAGTGAAGCGTCCGCGTAGGAGATGAGATTCCTCACTGGAGACTTTCGCAGGGAGCTGTTGCTAAATGCTACCTTCTCTTTTTTTTTTTAAACGTGTATATAAGAGATCTTGTTTATTCGACTTCTAAGTAGACGTTTAAAATGGCCTTAATTTAAAAATAACACGTCTGGATGCAACTGTCAAAACTCGGGACCATCTAGTTGAGGGAAATCCAGGTTCTGTTCCTTCCGTGCGGGGCAGAGGGTGGCGGGCGCTTGGGGAGCGGGAAGGAGTAAGGCGAAGTCATCGTGGGGGGCAGATGACGGCTGTGTATGACAAGATGCGCTTCATCTCGCGAGCCCCGGTAGCGGGCAGAGCAAAAGCTGCTTTTAGGGCCGACCCTTTGAGAACCGGAGCAGTTCTTTCAACAGCTCTTGCGTTTTGCTTCCCGGGAGGCCGGTTTCCTGACAGCATCGCGGAGGAGCTGCGCTTCGAGAGGGGTTTTTTTTTTTTTCCTCCCCCTCTCCCCTTAAAATGTGTGTTTTTGTCACGTACGTACGCTTAAGGCTGATTTTTGAAGCAAAACCGATGTATTACGTTGTCAAATGTGAACGCGGAGCGGGTCCCCGGTGTTTTCGGAACGAGTAATCTGATTTGATTTGAAAATTTAGTAGCACCGTTTTCCTTCGAGATGGTGCGTGTACGGGCGAGAGCCGTGGGGGGCGGCTGGCGCTTCCCGCGCAGGGAGGGACGGGAGCGGGAAGAGCAGCGGAAAGAGAAAAGATCCCTTAGCCAAAAAAAAAAAAAAATAATTAAAAAACCTAGTAGTATTCTGTATAACTTTTTCAGTTAAACGATGTTGAAACTGTCTGGTGTCTCAGAGGGTTACTGTCCAAACATACCTGCTGAGCGAACCCTACCCCCTCCCTGCAACATGTGTTTTTACAGCTATATATCAAAAAGTTCCCAAGCGAGACTGTTGCATTTGCCAAGACAATGGGGAAATGCTAGGAATAAACCTTCCGTGTAGAAAATACTGTGATTTTTTCAAAAGAAAAGCAGAACTTCTGCTCTCCCTGGCAGCGCGGGCGGGCG